CCCCAAAACCCCAAAACCCCAAAACCCCATATTAATTAATATACATTGAAATTGTTATATAGAGAAATCAAATTCGTAAACTCACTCTCTCTTCCACTTGTAGTCACCTGTTCTAAATTCTTCAAGTCTTTCCATTCTCTTGATAAAGTTGAAGATAAGGTCTCTCTGGGATCGGGTGTCATGCATATGGTGCAAATGAACCTTTTCAAGATACTAGGAGTTATATAAAGGGTCTTACAGGATAAGGAAGATGTGAGTAGTCTCTTTTTCAATTATATTCCGATAGGAGAGGTACAAACTTACTACCTCCTGTGGCTATTTCAGCTCCACTCTCTGAGATAATTCAGAAATCTTTGTAAATATGGCTATTCTCAGGTTTTCCTTCAGATTCATATCAGAGAGCTGTCTCACAGCCTTCTTTGGTGTATCCCACTATAAAATATTATTCTTTTCTGCTTACTTAATAAATCTAGAAATGGCTTTAGATAAGTTGGATTGCCAATGGAGATGCTGAGCTCTTTAATTTTGTTATTGAACCTCGCATTCGACAAGTATTTCGAGAACCTCTCGAAATTACAATCAGTGACTACCAACTCAATTATCTGTACCTGGTTATTGAGGTAGAACTTAAACTCAGGCCCTCTGAGTTCACTCATGACACATTTTGTGAGTGATATCTTATCAGATGTCTTCGAGTAAATTTTATACAAATTCGTGAACTTATTTTCATCAATAGTGTCACCAATGTAATCACTTGACACTTTTTGAAGCGACTTAAGATCCTTTTTGTTTATCACATCCACTCAGGACACATCCCTAATCGGACATGAGATAAAGCTTTTGATATATTTCGCAGCTTGATATAAATTCTTGACAAATCGAGGCTTTTTGATAGACAAATATTTCGGTGAAAATATATTTACTTTTTCATCGTCCATATCGATTTCATAGTCTTCATCGTAGTATGCACCGTCAATTCTGACCTCTATTTGGCTTGAGAAGTAGCGCTTAAATGTTGCCTGAGCTGAATCAAACACGGTGAAGAAACAATCTTTGAAAATCAGAGTCACAGGGCGCTGATAGCTTATTTCTCTGTTTATCTTGCATTCAATAATTGCTTTATGGCAATCATTCTTGCATATTATAGATAAAAACTCGGTGAAGAACTTAAACTGCTCTTTGATGAACTGACCACAAAGATCTGGGTACTCTTCTAAGTTAGAAGGAGAGTTATAAGACATCGTCACTCTCTCAAGTGATTTTAGAAGAGTGTTAGACAGTTCATACCCAGATACATCAATATTTGGCTCAATATCAGCTATGTCTAAGATCTCAATCTGAATAGGACAAGTCTCGAGAAACTCGAAGCTAGCTTGAAGTGTCTTAACCCCCTTTATCTGGAAATATTTAATGTATTCTGGGATCTCATCGGAAATGCTTAGGAAAAACTCTAAAATCTGTTCATGATCCTGGCCAACCTCATTAGTGATGCAATACTCCTCTTTAATTCGACTTAAGCGGAGAAGATCGAAGGAAATCCTGTCAATATTAGCAATGCTCTTGACAATCTCTATCACTTGATCATGGTAATCTTTAGTTTTAGCAATATTCATTTGGAAAATTTTGACATCTTCGAGAGAAAAGTGCTCATAAACCCCATTTCTCAAATCATTTAAAAAATTATAAAAATTCAGCACAAAGCTGCGTCTGTCAAGATAAGTGTCAATCTCGAAGAACTTCAAGAGCTGAAATTTTTTATTCACAAGAAGGGTCTTGACTTTATCATCAAAGTTATAAATAGCAAACTTTCTCCGGTTCTTCAATTGCTGACAGAAAATCTTGTCGTGCTTAAAATACATGCTTCTCGTATGCTTCGATAATTTTCTGCACAAGACAATGCTTTTGTCAGTATAGTCATAATAATCTAGCACTTTCAGGGAAATGCCCAGGTTAGCTCCCATAATTATTCAATATAGAATTAATAATTGGGGTTTTGGGGTTTTGGGGTTTTGGGG